GTCATATGGTCAGATGCTCCTGAATCTATTATCCATGAATGTTTGTATTACCTGTAGCTGAGGCATGGTGAGATGAGGCCCGATTACCTGAATGAGCAAAAGCTGAGATAGGGGGTGTTGATGGTGTCTGAGGAGGTGGAGCTGAATTACCAACTTCATTTTCCAGCTGAATTAGAGCAACTCGGACAGCAGCTAGAGTGTCTAGAAGATTGCCTTTTGTGCTAGACGAGGTTGTACTATCAATGTTAACAACCATATTTGCATTCCCCTTTTTGTTTCTGAGTTTTGTTGGAACTAGATGTGGATGCAACTTCCAACAGGTCTCTTTAGTATGTTTCGGTTTCTTGCAGTGCTCGCATACCAGGTCCTTCTTAGCTTCCTTCTTCATGTCTCTTTCCTTATCACCCCCAGATTTGGGCTTAACTGCTGCCAGAGCTGATTCAAAAGGTTGTTGCTATAGCATAACTTTTCTCCTAGTCTCTTCGTTGTGCACTAAGGAATAGGCCTGGGACAGAGTTACACTTTCTCTTGTCAACAATTGCTGACTCACAATATCATATTCCGAATTTAGACCAGCCAGGAACTCAAACACTCTATTAGTTTCAATTTGCTTTCTATAAATCTGTGCATCCTTCTGACTTTCCCATTCAATTGATTCAAGGTGGTCAATTTCATGCCACAGGGATTTCAAGATTGAAAAATAAACAGAAACTTGTTTCTCACCTTGCTTGAGATTTCTAACCTCACATTTCAGCTCATAAGCCCTAGCAACATTAAGGACCTGAGAGTAGGTTTCTTTCACAACATCCCATATTTCTTTAGCTGTTTTTGCCCATAAGTAATTTCGGCTTATGTGTGGCTGCATGGAATTGCACAGCCATGTCATCACCAATAATTTTCCTGAATCCACTTAGCATAAGTGGGATCCTCCTTATTTGGTTCCTTCACATCTCCCAACAAATAGTTCAGTTTTCCTCTTCCCCCAATGGCCATCATGGCTGATTGGCCCCACTCTAAGTAGTTTGAACCATCAAACTTTACAGTTGTAATCTAGAAGGTGTTTTCAGTCATGCCACCTGAACCAGTCCCAAAAACACCCTCCCCTTGGTGCTTGAACTCCATTCTTGGTTAGGGGTTAAGCAAAAAAAACCTTCTATTTACTGTAACAATCAGCCTACTAGGTCTGAAAATTAACGACAGTAGGTCTAGAAGCAAAAATCAAATTTAGAGAGAAAAACTTTCCAATTCACTGTATCAATGTATCAATCAGCCTACTAAATCTGAGAACTAATAGCAGTTGGCCTAGGTACAGAACTCCAAAAACAGAGATCAGAGAGCACAAATCTGATAGCAACCAAACTTAAAAACAAGTCTAATCTCTTATCCGGACATAGTAACAGTCCTGGATTTCAGGGTTTTCTCTTAAAACCCTAGAAGAGAAAAAGAAAAAAAATTCTATATAGCCATACCTCACAAATTAAGCTATCCTTGCTGTTGCCCTCAAGAAGGAATAAGACCTTACCCAGGAATTTCTGAAAAAACCTGATCTTGATTCAAAAATCTTCCTGAAATTGTGATCGCCAACTTCAGTTTGCTCAAAACTGATCTTGATTCTGATCAACCCGAGAAACTTCTGAAACAGAACTGATCTCGGAGAAAAATCTTCTTGATCGCCAACTTCAGTCTTGATGAGAGAACCAAAAAATCTGATTGGCACCTCCAATCTTGATCAAAGACCTAACCTTGATCACTTAATTCTTCTCTGATTCTTTCTAATTACAAGGAGCACTTTCCAATCCTTGGACAGTTGTTGAAGACTTCTTGTTATCTCCAAGAATCAGTCGAATGAAAAACTCAGCCCTAAATAATTCTCATGTGGTCGGCTGAATTAATTCCACATGAGAAACCCTAGATCAAATGCTCTGATACCAAGTAGTCGCTCAAGATTGAACAAACACTTAAAAGGAGAATAAAAAAAATAAGAAAAGAAGAGGGAGAAAAGTGAGAGAGAGAGAGAGAGAAAGATTTTGATAAAAGAGAGTTGGTTGATGTTTGAAACAGCCGCCCCCCTCTTAAATTTATATACATAGTATCATACTTGTAAAAGGACTGAATTGCTTACATGGCAAGATAAGATAAAGCTGAAAAAAGACTAATCCTAATCTTATCCTAATCTTATAAAAGACTAGTCCTAATCTTATAAAAGACTAGTTCTAATCTTATCATAAAGAACTAATCCTAATTATAACTTATTGCTGACATACGAACAGTGGGGACCACCTTAGTGGGGTCCACATTAGTGTTCTCTACAATTTCCACAATCATCTTACTTTCTTCACTTCCCCTTGAATATTCTATCATTTTTTCCTACATTAGAGAGAGACCATAAGATGGCTTTACTTAAAAGATGAGTATAATTAACAACCAAATATAACTCTTATATGATGACTCCTTGTACTTGAGATTTTAAAATCATTTCTATCTTGAATTGTTTGCCCATATCAGAAAAATATTGATTATTATTTATTACCAGTAGTATGATATAATTTTATGATTATTATGAATTACTAAATTAATTTCTTAATTAAAATTTTTAAAAGAGCCATGTATTATAAAATCCTAGTTAGGCTTATTGATTGAAAGTTCTAGATTAGAAAATCTAAATACCCTTTTCATAATTATGCAAAGTTGCGATTCAAAAATTTTCTATGCTTGCGACTGTTTCCAAATGGTTTTGGCAAAATTGGTGAAATTTCCCTGGTATTTCATCAAAACTAGGAAATTTCAAAATATCAAGTAAACATCAAGAAGTGTTTGGAAGTTTTTGATTCAGGAAGTTCTTGCTTCATCTCTTAGGAAATGGAGATAGAAAAACATAGCCATATACACCTCTCAAGTACCAACTTTTGCAGATAAGAAGACATTTGGAGAAACTAGAAACTAATTGCTAAAGCTTCTTCGGTTAAGGACAAACCTGTTATAGCCTGGAAGCCCCCAGAAGAAAGTTTCACAAAACTAAACTTTGATAGCAGCAGCCTTGGTAATCCTGGGCCCTCTGGGATTGGGGAGTATTCAGGAATGCAGAGGGCTAGATAGTGGCTTTATTCTCTGGTCCAATTGGAGTGGGGGATGCAGTTAATGCAGAGGTCCAAGCTGTTTTACAGGGGATTCAAATCACTAAAGAGATGAACCTCAGAAATCTGGTCTATAGAACCGGAGACAGCGGTTTGGCCCTTCAGGGAGGCATTGAGAAGATTCAAATGGCTAACTTCTAATTTAACAGTCAGAGTTCAATGGGAGAGAAGATCAGCAAATGGGCTGGCAGACCTACCAGCTAAGCAAGGGGTGAATAGGGGTCAATTATTCTGGGCTAGTGTAATTTATATTGTTTTTTGAGGATACATCACACGCCTCTTGGGAAAACTAAATGCTGTATCAGTTGTAAAACCCATCTTAAAAAAATTAATGAAATACTTTATTATTCATAAAAAAATAAAAAATAAAAAAAAAACTTTTGTAGATAAGAAGGTTTGTGGTGGTATTCTCCTTAGGTGCACAACAAAGGATAACTTACTTGGATAAAACCCATTGATGGGAATTGTTGATCTATGAGGCTGATACCATGTCTTGAGGATCTATCATCTAAAGTATAGATTCTATAAATCAGAACAGAAGACTCCAGTTGAAAGGGTTTGTGGTGGAATTCTCCTTAGGTGGACAACAAAGTATAACTTACTTGAATCAAAACTCTTTGATAGGAATTGTTGATCTATGAGGTTGATACCATGTCTTGAGGCTCTATCATTTAAAGTGTAGCTTCTATAAATCAGAACAGTAGATTCCAGTTGAAAGCATGGTTTAAAATGTCCCTAATTTCCCTAATATTTCCACGACATATTTCCATCTCCATGAGTAGCAATACGAAATTTTACTGGAATCGACATTTCCCCAATGAACACTACCAGATCTACATGGAGTACAAGAGACAGTATCCACGACATATTTCCATTTTCACTTCCATGGGTAGCAACATGTAATTTTACTAGAATTGGCATATTCCTTTTGAACACTACCAGTACTATTTGGAGTACAAGAAATAGTATTATAACATAAGTTGGTGACAATATTGTAAATATGTGAACTAACAAGTTATTGTCCACCTAACTTACATATTACAACTTTGAGCTAGCTCAATGTTCATTTCAAACATGAAGTTAAGTAATAGTTTTTGTTTTTTAGTAGATTATTTGGTTGATCTGTTACAACCATTTACATTTTCTATGAGTTTAAATTTTGCATTAACTATTTCTATATATCATGAAGTTCTAAAGTTTAAGGTTTACAAGGCAACTTCAGAACAATTCTTTTGTCTATAACCCTAGTTTCTTAGTTTTGTTTAATAACTTGGAACAAGATAATAATTTAAAAAGGTGTACCTATGCTTCTTTTGTCATTTCATAAAATATCATTCTATAAATTTCATATTTTATAATGTTTCCACCATGTCCATAATTTTTACAATATTTCCAACATTTCCGACATGTTTCTTATATTTGGATGACCGACAATTCCACCGACATCGACATTTTAAACCTTGGTTGAAAGGCTACATAGACCTACAACCATTAGTGTGAGTCACAATTTACACTTTCAATCCAAGTGAAAAATATTAATAAGCTTCTGATTGTTGTGTCCCAAAGACGACATTCTCTATCAACCTAAGGATAACGCCACCAATGTCCTTAATAGAATCCTGAGACCTAAGTCCTAAGTACCCTCTTGTACAATCAATAGCATGCTTTTGTTTTGCTCAGTTACATCCAACATTTGTAATACGTGTATAATTTCTAGACTCAACATAGTACCTTACCATTCATCTTGTGCATGAGCCATTTGTCACTTGAAAAATAGAAAAAAAAAAAAGAAACTGTCAAGCTTTTAATAATTTTACTCTACAAAATAAAGAGGGGAGGAAGAAACATCTGATGTTATAACATTACCCTCAATATCCAAATCACCACATCCTACAGCTCGCAAGTCCCTAGCAAATTCCTGTGTCTTTTCATATGCAACAGCAAGCATTCTAAGATACTGCAGCATCACAAAAAAAAGCAATAAAAATAATAAAAACCAACACCTGATAGGAACTTCATAATGGAATCAGTTTTAGAGAACATTACAAGATAAATTCTACTCACTAGTAAAAGTCCGCCTTTTTCAACAGGAGGCAAATTCACAAGGGATGGCTTCACCAGTACCTTGTCCAAAACAGCTGTAACTCGCTGCTCCAAAACTCGCTGTATGCAATCACAGAAAAGTTGTTATACAATAGAACACTAACTAAACCAGGTCTGAAATATAAATTTTCTCTGAATGTTTTGGCATAAAAGTGATGGTGAAAAAAGAAGAGAAGACCATTCTTGTATACCTGCACCAGAATTGACATGACCTCATTAGGAGAAGGGAATACAGCCATTATTGTGGAAGCTTCTTTTCTTACAGTATCTGCATGCAAACAACCAAAATATATCAAATCCCTTAAAGAAGGTAATTTCCTACTTGATCATAATAAAAGATCATATAAACCTGTGATTTCTTTGTACACTGAAGAAAGCCCACGAGCAACATTACTAGGACTAGCTTGTGACCCCTGATCACCAAGAACCAACCTGGCGTCTGCATTCATTATCTCCACATCAATAAACATGGGTCGAGTTGCCACATAATGTTGCATAGCACTGGTGCCCCTGTTAAACTGCAATGAAAAACAGAAATTCTGAGAAACAAAAAAAATTGGCCCACTCAAATGACTCCCTTCTAAATGTCAAAATTTATCCTAAAAATTCCTTTCTCCTTTTGCATCGGGGTATTTTTTTAATGTAATTTTCTTTCATTTTACTATTTTCTCTAGCATGTATAGCTACTGAATGTACTACAGATGCCCCCAACATATGGATGGGCCCAAGTCAAATGACAAGTAACTAGGACTGCAAATGGATCAGATTTTGATCCAATTCAAATTCAAATCAGATCCATTCAAGCCAGATCCTGATATTTGTTTAGGGTTAATGAATTGAAATGGATTGAACCGTTTAGTTATTGGAAATTTGGAATACCACTGCCAGTTGAAAAGAGGTTTGAATAGCCACAATTTGTAGCCCACCAAACAACAACGTATCCTCAGATCTATAAAAGTGGAAACAGGTATTATCAATTGACATTGGTTTCAGGGTTTGGGTTTTCTTGAATTCTTTTTATTAACATAACAACTGCGCCTGCAGGTTTCTTCCTCTTCTAAGTAGTAATGCTAGCACGCTGCATTCACAACCGCAAGAACCAGTTAACTGAAGAACAACTGACAATACCAACAGGTAAGCTAGAATTTACTAAGATGAGATTTTGACTCCATTGAGACAATTTTCACTAGAGCAGGTGTGGAAAGTTTGTGAGGCCATGAGGGTAGACAATGCTTGCCATACTATTAACTGTTTGGGAGGAAACAAATAACATTGTAATGAACATAGTAAACTAGGTAAGGTCCATAGAGGTTTTGCACCCTTTTATATGAATGATATCATTCAAAGATGGAAGTGGCAAGATCATTGATATGGTGAAATGCTGATTTGATGTGTATGATTTGAAGTTTCTTAGCCCTAGTTTGGAGAAGAGAAGAAAACATTTTTAAGAGAAGAATGGGTGGCCAATAGCCCTCTCCCAGCTCCTTATTGATATTTAATTGAAAGTTACACAATATTACATGGACAGACAAGTGTGCCCCTGCTTGGGTGGCAGCAAGATATATAAACATAAGAGAACTATGGCCCGGTCTAGCACAGAGGCAAAGTATAAAATTAATGGCTCATAGAGTTTCTGAATTGTTATGGTTGAAGAACTTATGGACAAAGATGGGAGTACAGATTGATACTCCAATGTTATACTGTGACAACAAGCTGCCATAAACATAGCCCACAATCCTGTCCAGCATGATTGTACTTAGTGTATAGAGGTTGGTGGGCACTTCATTAGAGAAAGGGTTGCAAGTGGAGAGATTTGTTTGCCTTTTGTGAGGTCTAAAGATCAGCTGGCCAATTGTCTCACTAAAGTTGTACCCGAGCCAAAAATTGACAATGCTGAATTGTTAGATTCTGGGAGGATCCGTGGTGGGGAGAGCTGCTTCTTTGCCAGAGATTCCCTAAACTCTTTTTTCTTTTTGTTTACCTGAGAGAAAGGTAACTGATTTGATTATGAATAAAAAGGACGTGTACAAGAGGGTGAGAGGGTAACAGTAGCAGTCTCTGAGGGTTGAGGGCTGAGGAAGGTGGAATGGACGAGAGCAGGTTCAGAGTAGTAGGAAGGTGGAGGTATGAGGTGTCGATCGAAGCCAAGACTTTCAAGTTCAAAGAGGAAAGGATCAAAGGTGAGGATGTTTTGAAAATCAGAGAGAATAACAGAGCGACTGTGTTGGTGTCAAAGGAGGTCTTAGTCTGGTTGAAAGGTTTCATAGATGGGGCCATCAACTCTGGTAAGGTGATTGGATGGACAAATTCTTTGACTGTACCAAGTAAGAAATATGTAACAGAAGTGAAAAGAAACAGAAAGGGTTGGTTTATCTCTGTGGTGGAGTTTTTCGGAACAAATGGAAAGCAACTACTGTGTGTGCCAGAAGGGAAGCTACGGAAAGGGTGGATGGATTTTGTGAAGGTGCTACAGTCTTTTCTTGTAGCCTTGGAAGTGAAGAGAGCAGAGGGGGTGAAGAGAACTGATCAATTCTCCAAAGACCAGGGTAAAAAAGGTCAGGAAGGGGCAGTTTCGGTTAGTTTCTCTGGGAGCGTAGAAGTGCAAGGCACTCCGACCGAAGTGGTGGTTGCTTGCGCGTCTAGTCCTCGAATCCAAGAAAAGAAGGGTTTTAGTAGCCGATAGAGGAGTGACAGACTGGAGAAGGGTTCTGTGTACTGTGGCAGGGGAGTTGGGATCTGGGAATGAAGCTTTGTTGTTCCCTTTTGCAGAGACGAAGCTGTGCTTGATGTAGGCGACCAGGAGCTAAGTTTTAAAGCAGTAGTGGTGGATGGAGTTCTGATACAGGTTCAGAACTGGAGTCCATTTTGCAATGAAGTCGAAGTCCAAGATGGTTGTGTCCGGCTGAAGCTTGTAGGCCTTCCATTTCACC